ACACGTACAACACGTATTGTATGTCAAAGATTTTGCTTCTAAATCTGGTACACGTTGATGCTAATTAGTCGCCTCTTACGACATGCTTAGCTGGCAATGGTCCTATTCTTATCTGGCCAAAACACCTGGCCACCCCGGGAGCCATACGGGGATAACTCACGACTTTTCATTCTATTATTCAATTTTTAAAATTTTTGTGTACGTACATTCAATTTAGTTTATTTAGTCTATTACTCTGGATTGAAAGCATTAATAAGTATGTCTTATATATTTAATGCACCATTACATTTAGTTTATCGTTCATATTGTATGTGTTTTGTTGATAAATTGTATGTTACATTATTTGGTCATATCTTGTTTGTTTGAACAAATATTTTAAATTAAATTTAGTAAAAAATAAAAATTTTACAATTTAGTAATAATTATTAATATGAATTTTAATTTAAATTTGCTTTTTCAAATTTTATTTTCTTATATGTGTTTACGTTGACCCACTAGGTGAGTTTATTATTTAAGTTGTCATTCGTTTCTACTACTAGTAAGCTAGTAAGATTCTCGGCTTTTAGCGTTCAACAGCAAAATATACACTAATGACAAAACGTTTATTTTAATAAAATCTACAAATACTAGATTCACATAAAAGACTTATGATGACAAAAATATTAATAAAAATAAGGCAGAGATTTTAAAATGTGCTGGAATTTAATGTTTGGTAAATCACATGTGTTTTATATTAAACATTGATATGTTGTGAAATTGTAAATCAAATGTATTTTTACTCATCACTTTAATCAATTGTATGTGTGTTACAGTTATTTAAGTATATTAAGTGCTTTACATTTGATGCAGTACAATAGTAGATACAATATAAGCTAGCAGATACAGTTAATATCATATACATTATAAAAAGTAAAAAAAAATGAAATGAGTTTCGACAATTAATGTATATGTAAAGGATACAAGAGAGAAGTTTGACAAATCAAGTAAGTTTCTTAGAAATCAATAGATAATATTACATTCAAACATGTTTTGAGCTCTATCTAAAAAATACAGTAATTTACATTTAAAACTAAAAGCAAAATAGTTATATAATTTGTTCTTTAAAATTTAGTTTTGAAAAGTAGTAATTGATAAATTTGTATAAATTCTGCCATTTAAACAGAAAGCTTACTGGGTTAAACTTAGGCGATGTACAAAATAAATACAAACATATATATCTGTGATAAAATTAAACATTATACTGTTTATTAACATTAATCATTATATATTTATTGAGACATCCAATATTACGTTTGACATGTACATCAAGATAACATCAAAAAGTTAACAAATTGGTGCGGCTATCTTTTAAGTAAGTGGTACAAAAATTGTTAATGTCACGTAAAATGACGTTAAATGTCAAAGATAAAATGTCACATTTGTTAAAATGTCAATGTTGTAAAAATCAGGAATGTCAAATAAATGTCAGTGCTGTGAACATATCACTTGTGTTGTAGATATCAATGTCCAAAAATTGTCATTTTTCTAAAATATCGCTATTGTTAGAATGTTCATTTCGTAAACATGACACAGTTGGTTCAAACGCCAAGATTGTGAAAATATATGTCTTTAAAATACGTTGGCGTATGTCTTGTGGTAAAAATTTTCATAAATGTCTCTGTTCTTTAAATATCATTGCAGTTACAACTCCGTTTTTTTAAAAATGTTCCGGTTGTAAAAATGTAACAATTTTTGTATTGTCATAGTAACTTAAGTTCACTATTGTTAAATGTCTCAAATATATAAATGGCCAGTAGTTAAAATGTTACTAATGTATAAATATCGATTTTCTTAAATTGAACTGACGAAAAAATATCGTGGTCGTGAAAATGTCAAAGTTAAATTGTCACTGCTATTGATGAGAAGTACATTTAATAAAATTTCCTTTTTCTAGTAGCAGTTTCAGCGCTGACAACTAGTGCCACTACTCCTTACGAATGCTGTTTCTGCAGGGTTTAAGCAGGGGTTTTCTCCCACGTATCCTGTTAGCAATGACTCTCAACCAGCATTGACAGGCCCTGTAATCGTACGCTGCGCAGAAATAACAGGGCGTCACCCGACCTACCAGAGTTAGCAGCAGCGTGTGGTGCTCGTTCATGGAGCGGTAGACATCCACGAAGTGGGGAATATAGTACGACTCCCGGGGGGAGAACAACAGGCTCCAAGACCCACCCCCAAGAGGGCGGATGGCGATTGTAGAACTCACTTTTGAAAAACTGCGGGCTATTTTCTCTACGTCAGTATGTGTGAAATGAGCGGGCGCCCAATGCAGTGATCCTAAAAGATAAATCTTTTCTAAATGCTTAAAAAAAAACTTCACTGAACCATCTTCAATAGTGAAAGATAATCTATGCAGCTTGTTGTACAGTTTTTCTTTAGCTTCGCTCTTCAGCCTGAGAAACCAAACCATGTTTGTGCCTAAATGAGACAAGTCCTCTATGTCGGTTTTGTCAACCTCAGCGTAATCTTTCAGAGCTTGGACAATTTCCTTATAGCTTATCACAGGGGCTCTAGCGCCATGTAGCAAAACACAGATTGTCCCTGGATAATAAGGTGTACCCAGACGTAAATCATGGATAGGTTCTTTCTGTATTGGCACAGTGGATAATAAGCTCATGTTTGGTTCCATTTCTTTCGTTGAAGACGTCAAGGTGCTCAAATAAAGGATTGTGTGAAATTAATGTTTATAATAGTTCACGTTATTGTTAAAATTCCTTGCAACTGTAAATAAAGAAATTGTCAATATTTATGTAATTTGCATGGCTTAAAATATGTGCTTGTATTAAAAAACAATTATACAGGTAGGCTAAAAATGAAAGTGTGTAGGCTTATGTTTAAGTAAAAAACTATATAGATATCCTACCCTTTCAAGTATTTTCTTGTCTCAGCTGTTCAATTTCTTGTTACCAATGCCTTTTTTAAAGGGCTGTATTGATATAATCTGCGAGCTGTTCTCTATTCTGTTACTCGTTGTTCTACCAAAATAACATCTCAATCTTCATCAAATGAGATTTCTTGGTTCTTAAAAAAATAAAAAGATTGCGTTACATGCAACAAAAATGGGCAAGAATTGAAAGAAATATTTTGTTTTTAATTAGAACAAGCGATGATACTTTATAATATATTCGCAAAAGAAAACCCTTGCGATTTAGGCTCGAAAACAAAAATTGACTGTGTTCAATAATATAGTGATATAATTACGGCACGCAAGATTTTGAGCGGGTCGCCGACTAGAAACATAACCCCACAGCTACACACCTATTTTTAGTGTGGGAAAGTAACCACATAGATAATACTCTTTCTTTACACACATAACTAAATAGAGCATCTCAATTCCACCCTACATCCACTGCCCCATTTTTAATCGCCTCTTACGATTTGCTGATGGGGCTCAGCAGAGTCCTATTCTACTTCCGGAACTAGTCCGGATCCCGGGGACACACGGGGACATAAGTCTTGTGTTTACCACCTTATCAATATATTTTAAGCTGTATAGAATGAAGCGCTGGAATGATTGTTATAGAAATAAAGATTAATCAAAATTGAAAAGCATGTTAGCAATGTAGTTCGCAATATTGATTTTATAAGAAGCGATATAAAACATGTTACTTATTTGTTTAATGGAATTCAGCGATTGGAACATATTTGGTCTTACCTCATTGTTTCGACAGACTGCTTTTCTTCTTCTTTGCCCTTAATTTTAGTGTTGGAACGGATTCTCTCCAACACAATTAAGTATACTTGTCAACTTGTTATGCGCAATTTAGGCTGTTGACTCAAATTTAAGCATGCTTTTCTTTTTTAATTTGCTTCCATAGCGTTTGTGCAACCAAGAACAAACTACAAAGCAGCAGTTGTTTGATTTTGGAGTTATCGGTTTAGCAACCATGAACATAACCGACCAGACCAAGCTAACTTCCAAAGATTGCTCAATTTTTAAGCATTTACCACTTCAAGGCAATGTTTTTCTTTGTTTTTATGATTACATAAGAACTTTAATCATTTTTATAGATATTAATAATTACGACAAACTAAATTTAAAAAAAAAAAACAGTAAAGAATAAAAAAACGAAACAAAAAACCCCAAGAGATACATTTTTATTGAAATATTTTACTTGCTAAAAGTGTAAAGAAATATGAAAAAAAAACATGTTTTCGTATTTACATTCTATAAAAGTTAAGTTTTTTTTTTCATATTAGACATTAAAAAGTAGCACCTGACACAACAACCAATTCGGGAATTTTATTTTATTCTCGTTTACATTAACGTTAGCCTTTAAAGAATCGTGTGTCTAAACTTGGAAACGAATCATTTGGTTATTTTATTTTTTTAAAAAATGTATTTTAAAAATTACTACAAAAGGGAAATAACTGAATAATTTTGGTTGCTTAAATATATACAAATTCACTCCCTTGAAAATTCATTTTTTAAATTTTTTTTGTCTATTTTTATTTACATTTTTTTCTATTTATGTAAATCAAAGAATTTTACTGAACCTACATGTATTCGAATACTGTAAATTTTAACCGCTTGTTAGTGTGAACCCATAACTAATAAATAGTTGCGTTTAGCATTAATAGATGTCACTTTTGATACATCACATTCAAAGCATAATGTTTTAGTAATTGAACTGTTGTATTTTTAAAATATTTTACAAGAAATGAAAAAACAACAAGAAATATTTAAGTGACAACATTCAACGCAGTCAATCACAATTTTCAGGAAAAAATGTACTGGCTGATTAAATAAGTGAACAGAATATTAGACAAAGCATTAGCACTGAAGTTGGGAAATTGGTCAATCTGGGTTTGAGTTGACGTACTTTATTTACGTTTAAAATTATTTACATAAGTATGCACATTTTTATTGTAGTACATCATCTAAAATTATTCCAATAATTCACGTTACTATTTTCATTCTTCTGAATTACATTTGGGTAAAAAATGGGTATTAGACATTGAGTTTATCTAATCAAATAAAATCCAAAGATTTACAAAGTTATATTGTACCAAGCATACTAATAGAAACTATTAGAATGTCTTAAATAACAACAGAAAAAAATTGTGTTACATTTTTAACAAAAATAAATGATATACTACTGACTGTTTATAATATAAAACAAAAACCGAAACCATTTTTTAACCGATTTTAAGTTGAAGAGTCGACGACTAGTTAATCTCTGTAGTACTAAAAAAATTCTGAATGAATTTAATATATGCATTTTACATACAAAATTACGAATAGCAAAATAAATCAGAAAAAAAATTAGGCAAACATTTATATCTCGTGTTGTGTCTCAGGGATAGCTGTAAAGTATAAACAGTAGACAGACGACTTGGATGTTAATGTTTCTGAAAGGTTAACACCTGCGGTATACAAATATCAAAAGGTGAGTGTCAATAGATACTATTGTTGGATAGGGTAAAATAACGAACAAATATATCAAGCTTTGAGATCAGTCAAACGGGTATATGATAATTTGATAGAAAAGTAAATGATAAAAATGATGAACCTAACTAAACTTGGTTAAAGTGTGCAGAGGAAACAGGCGTAAAAATGTTTACAAAATTTCATTGATAAAACAAAGTTAAAAGCAATATTCAATGTTGGAAAAGGAGGCCGGTACTTGATCAAGTAAAAGAAACGTTACAGCAAAATTAAATAAACTAAGAAAGTTTTAGCACACTGAAAAGTTGTAAGAAATTTAATAGCTAATTGGACTGGTAAAAAGGATACAAAAAATAAGCTGGTGGAAAAAAGTTACAGCACAGTTAATAGTGTAAGTAAAGTATGGCGTATTGAATATGTTAAAGAATCATTAAAAAAATTGAATAAATGTTATAAAGTAATATGTAATTACATCTATGCGTGTTAAAATATTTTAAAAATATTTTCTAATAAAATAATAAATTATAATCTAAAAGTTTCAAGAAAATATATCATAACAACTGTCCACCATGAATTATTAATTAACATTTTCATTGAGTTATTCATCATTTTGTGATCATTTCAAAAACTAATTACTACACAGACACATTTTATACAATATACACATTTGACAAAATCTAAGATAAAATAGTTTAAATATTATTTTTACCCAAGTTACAAGCAGCATAGGCCAGATTATTTTATGTTCTAGGACAATGAATTGGACTATATGACACCATACTAGACAAGAGGCCTCTTTCCAAAGTAAAGCACAATAAATAACAAGTAGTTTAAACTACCTTACTTCATAATACATTTATTTTATTTTTTTTAAGTGTTGTGCAAGTAAATGTACAATAGGCTTATATAATGCATTTTCATATACAAAATTTAACAGAAAGCCAAACTGGTAATTTCAGTAGCACTTACAACACATGGTACAACTGGTATAATATCTTATACAATTACACATCAAAATTGTGTGTGAAAATATCAAATATTTAGTGAAACAGGTGCATCACATAGAAAATATTAAAGAATATTTCAAAAATGAAACTGAACAGAAATAAGCATAACCTAAAAATCTTGTAGCTCTTTAAAATATGTGTGATTCTTTTTAAATGGGAGGTGTAAATAGGCTGGTAACAAACAATTTTTAAGTCGTTACAATTTTGAAATCGTTGATATTTTAGTAACCATGAAATGTAAAAATAATTTTACAAATGTAATCGCACTTTAAGTGTCAATATTATTAAAATAGGTCTACTGTTATATCAAAAATTTACCTATATTTTAATGGTTTAAAAATCTCAATTGTCATAAAATAAAGTGTCAATATTTGTAAACTGTCCAAGATTTTAGACGTTTGGTGTCACTGTTGTAATAATGTAAAAGTAAATACTGCTAAAATGAAAATGTAGTTGTAATCTCATTATTTTAATATTGTCAATGTAATTTATAAACTGTCCCTTTCATCAAATGTTTAAGATTCCAGTAAAAATACATAGTTGACAAAAAAAAAAATTCAATATTTCTTTTTAGTGCAGCATCTGAATAACTTTAGTATTATATATCTAGGAATGAGACTGAGCATGAAACGTAAAACTCTGCAATCGATCACCGAACAGAAGTGGCTGGAGTTCACCCTTCCGTTTAGTGTTAGCACTACTCTTTGGTGCTCATTCACAGAGTAGTGGATATCCACATAGTTGGAGACGAAGTGTTGCTTCCTAGGGATAAACAACACCTGCCACGATCCGCCCCCAAGCGGACGGACGAAGAAGACAGAATGACGCAATATTGATACGCTGCGGATTATTTTCGTCACGTCAGTGTATGTGAAATGAGCGGGCGTCCCATGCAGTGATCCCAACTGGTAAATATGATTTATAGGAATGAAATAAAATTTCACAGAACCATCATCAATAGTGAAAGATAAAAAGTCCAGCTTTTCGTACAGTTTTTCTTTCGCTTCGCTCGTTGGCCTGAGAAACCAAACCGTGTTTGTGCCTAAATGAGACAAGTCCTCTATGTCGGCCTTGTCGACCTCAGCGTAATCCTCCAGAGCTTGGACAATTTCCTTATAGCTTATCACAGGGGCTCTAGCGCCATGCAGCAAAACACAGATTGTGCTTGGATAATAAGGTGTAACCATACTTAAATCATTAACAGGTTCTTTCTTTACTGGCACAGTGGATAATAAGCTCATGTTTGGTTCCATTTCTTTGGTTAAAGACGTCAAGGTGCTCACGTTAAGGATTGTGTGAAATTAATGCTGATAATAGTTCACGTTATCGGTAAACTCCGTTGCAACTGTAAATAAAGAAGTCGTCAATAATTTGTTTTTTATGGTTAAAATATTGTAAACGTTATTTGTATTTTGGTGCATAAGCATAATTGTGCGTGTATGTGCTTGCATTAAATTTTTTTTATACATGTAGGCTAGATATGAAAGTGCGTAGGCTGATGGTTAAGTATAAAACTATGTAGATTACCTACCCTTTAAAGTATTCTCTTGTCTCAGCTGTTCTGTTTCTTGTTCCTAATGCTTTTCTTTAAAGGAAGTATTGCATATAATCTGTGAGCTGCTCTGTATTCGGTTTATTCGTTGTTCTACGTAAATTAAAGATCAATTTTCATCAAATGAGATTCCTTGATTCATGAAAAAAAATAAAAATTGTGTTACATTCAACGGAAATGGGCATAAATTGAAAGAAATATTTTGCTTTTAATTAGAACAAGTGATGATATTTTATAACATATTCGCAAAATGAAACCCTAACGATTTAGGCTCGTAAACAAAAATGGACTGAGTTCAATATTATAGTGATATAATTACGGCACGCAAGATTTTGAGCGAGTCGCCGACTAGAAACATAATCTTACAGCTACACACATATTTTAAGTGTGGAAAAGTAAACACATAGATGATACCATCTCTTTACACACATAACTAAATAAAGCATCTCAATTCTATCCAACATCCACTGCCCCATTTTTAATCGCCTCTTACGATTTGCTGATGGTGCTCAGCAGAGTCCTATTCTACTTCCGGAACTTGTCCGGATCCCGGGGACACACGGGGACATAAGTGTGATGTTTACCACCTTATCAATATATTTTAAGATGTATAGAATGAAGCGCTGGAATGATCGTTATAGAAATAAAGATTAATCAAAATTGTAAAGTATGTTTGCAATCTGGTGCGTTAAATTTATTTTAAAAGAATAGATATAAAACTTGCTACTTACTTATTCACTGGAATTCAGCGACAGGGACTCATCTAGACTTACCCTATTGTTTTGAAAGAAGGCTCATTTGGGAGTCACTATAACTTCAAGGCAATGGTTTTCTTTGTATTTACGATTTTCAACAGAATACAAACAACCTTTTTTACTAATTTAAATTGTATATACATTTGTAATTATGATAAACTAAATCAGAAAAAACAGTAAAGAAACTAACAACACAAAATAAATTTAAAAAAAATTAAAGTGAACAAGTGGTTACATTTAATTGAAAGTATTTTACTTACTAAATTTCTAAACAAACAAAAACAAATTATGTCTAAAATGTTTAGATTTTAACAAAGTCAATGTTTTAAAATGAGACGTTTGAAAAGTAGCGCTAAATTGTAACAATCCAGACGGACAATGTTTACGTAATTCTCGTTCATATTAATGTTAGACTAAAAAAAATCGTTGATCCAATCTTGGAAACGAAAAATTGGCTTTGTTTGCAAAAATGTATTTCAAAATTACTACCAAAGGGAAATAACTTAATGATTTTTCAGAATTAAAAATATAGAACTTAACTCCCTTGAAATTACATCTATTATTTATTTTTATATTTATTTTTTGCATTTTTGTATATATACAAAACAATGTGCTTTAATGAACCTGCGTGTACACGAAAATTACAAGCTATCAACTACTTCTAGTGAGCCGACCTATAATCAAATAATATTAAAACATACGATTAATTTACTTATTAAAGCAAACTGGGTAATAGTGAGCAAAGATAAAACGATGTAAAAAGAATTACATAAAATGATATGATAAAACAATGTTTCCAGCAAAATTCAATAACGTACGAAAGATTTAACCAAAATGTAATGGTGGAAAAAAAGATTACTGGTAATTAACATGTGTAAAAATGTTACGATTTTTTTCATGAAATTATAAGTTAACTACAATAACCACTAAAGATTAATTCAAATTAAGGTATACGTAGCATTGTAATTAAATGAAACTAATAACTACACAATCAAACACATTACATTTTTTCAATATTACAAAAAAAAAAAAAAATATTTTTCAAAAAGGGTATTTACAATATTTTCACATGAATGAATATCATTTTTAACACGCATTTTTCCCCCGTAAAACTGAAACTTCAAAACGTTTTAATCATGTATGTCATATTATGTACGTATACATATGTTTTAAAAAATTAGAAAAAGAAGTAAACAAAATTTAGATAATACTACAAATAAAGCATTAGATTCACATGTTCCAATGTATTCAAACATAACTATTTAACGTCAGAGATGTAATTAACTACCTCAATCTTAGTCTACTTTTGACTATAGAATTTAAAAATAGATCTTTAACAATATTGTATGTTACATTATGAACAAAATAAAAACCTAAGTATTAATTACAACAACAAGATAACAACAAGTATATTATGTTACAGTAGAAGCTGTTTTATTATGTAAATCTGATGATTTACTTGCATAATAATAATACATAATAAAATTTATTAAACGAACTATCCTAAGTTTATGTTACATATTATAGTCAGTATGATACTTTTTAAACTTATATTTTTATACATATAAGTATTTTTATATTTATTCAAGCAATAGATATGTACATTTTAACGATTTATACCCCCCATCGTCACACATCGTCACGAAAAGCCAGACCCCCCCCCCTAAAATGACGTCACACCTCAGCCAACAGTCCCATTTAAAATTGCAGTTGAATTTTCTGAACTCTGTCAACATAGAGTATTTTAATCTATAATAATTTCTATTACAATTTATTAAAACAGTTATCTAAAACGCGAAATAACGGCTAAAATTCGTTTTCTAAATTTGCTTTTTTATAATGTAAAAGTGTGACGTCACACCATTTAACCCCCTTCCCCCTCATTACACACCTTTACAAAATAATGGACCCCCTACGAATGTGATGTCATTTACGGACCCCTTTACATTAATCAGATTAACACAATATGGTAACTTTGTTTTATATATTGCTTATTTTATTTTATACAACTCCTTATTTACATATATCTGATAACACAGAATTACAGATTTAGAACGAACTTTCATATTTACTTTGCTTTCTTGAAACACTTAACAACACTGTATGAAACACTATATATAATTTGTTTTCCAAATTTTGATAAACTAAGTCTGGACGTAATCTCTTTATCTAGATAGCTTCTAATTTCGGAAATCCTATATCCTGTTATTCTTAAGGTTTGAACGGCTCCAGAAATCACATTTTCATCATAAAATCCAGTCTGCTCACTAGAGTGCATTGTTATTTAATATAGTTTGGTTTTTCAGCAAAATGTTCTATCATCTTTTTTTTCTTGGCGGACTATCAGTTAAGTTGTTAGATCCTAAGAAATGAACAAAACACAGCTTTAAGAATAGAAACATAGGAAGAGAAGATGTTTAATTATACCACGTACTTTGATAACTGTAGCTCTGTCTTAAATACATAACTTTAATGAAAAGTACAGACTCAATCAACAGAGAACTAGAACCCATTATAATTATAACACAATGTTGATTGTAACTGTCTTTCTTCCATTGTGTTCACTAGAACAAAGTAATAATAATTAGCAAATTAGTACATTTAAATTCATGTTTTACCCAACGTTTATTTAAATTGTAAGACAAATAAACAGCGAATACAGGTATACATACTCTTGCTTTCAAATACAATGTAAGGCTATACAGATATTGGTAAGTAAAGCAGTGCTATGTCGAAAAGATTATCTTTGTTGCAAAATGTTATTTAAAAATTTGACGTATTTGACGTGGGCCGGAGGTGCGAAGGTTGCCTTAAATTATACATAAGGGATGGTTGTTTGTCTAAATCTTGTAGGACGTTAAATGAGGCAGATGAAAGATAAAAACGTGTTTTAAATTGTGTATGGCCTATGATGTTTACAGCCCAGTGTAAGTTAAAAATTTCAAAGTATAAACAAAAAATTCCACACAAAAAATAAGCACAAATTACGCGAAACAAAACAAATAGAAGAAAACTGTGCATTAACATAAAATATTTTAAAACGTTATAGTGGGGTAAAGTAATATAAAATATATTTGATGAGCTTTCTACGAAGTAGTAAGATGAATCGTAAAGTTAATTAAATTTAAACCTAGTAAAATGTTGAGACGTCTGAGTTGTTCAGTATGAATTAATCCTTTGTGTGCAAAAACAAAAAAAATTGAAGACGGTTGTATGCACATGCACATAAACACACTAACAGCAGAATTAATGAGTGTAAAGAAACATTTTTGGAAAAAAAACTTCCTACCTTTTCGAGTCCATTTACGACATCTTCGTTCTGCTTTTCTGTAACTGAGGGACAGTTTTTGTGGATTTCAAATTGTTTTCAGTTGCAGAGGACACCATTTTTTTAGCAGAATCCATCCAATTGAAACGCTGGATAATCGTTTGAAAACATTTCACTGAATTCTTTGTACATCATTTAGCTAAATTGTTTAATCTATTTTTTAAATTTAAAATAGTATCACTATTTTATTATTTTATTTCTAATCCGTAAGCCATAATGTAGAAGGATTTGATGGCTATTTTTAAGATTACAATCCGATGCGGGCATGAAGATCAAAAATGTTTAAACTATTTTAAAATGTGATTTTGGTATTCCGTACAAACGTTTCAGGCTTTCTCGTTGACTCGATTGAATACGGTAATGATCTGTGCCAGTCAATGTTTTTAGCGATATGATCTTTTGTCGCTGAGACTGGTATCTGAGTTAGCCGCCCGTTGCTAAATTAGTCGCCTCCTACGACAACCTTTAGCCTGGTGTGTGCCTATTCTACTTGTGGACTAAGGCCACATCCCGGGCACACACGGGGAAGATTGACTGTGTTCGCCATTTATTTAGATGTGTAGATTGATCCAGCACAAATAAATGGGTACAACTAAGAGGACACTAATACAAAATATAGTAGAGCCAGCCCTCATTCCGAACAGTCATAGAAGCATAAACAATAAACATAAAATATAATGACCAACTATTTTTGAAAGTTAGGCATAGATGTTTTTAATGTTACAAAGATTTTTAGTGTGATAAATGTGTCTTACACTTTGATGAATGTTTAGTCTTGTGCTTTATCTATACCAAATGTGATTTATAGCCTACTACACACCATGATTACTACATTAGTAATATAAATAAAACAAGTGAATTATATTGAATAAAAAATAAGCTAAAAGACACATTATTCTACAACATATACAATTTGACAACATTTCAGAAAAAATAGTTTAAACATTATTTCTACACAATTTACAAGCAGCATAGGTCACATTAATTTAGGGTTTTAGGCAAACGATCTGACTATATGACACCATACTTGACCAAAGTAAA